ACTTGATGATTGATTGACAGGAGGATGTCATGATATGGTTAAAACTGGTAGGTTCACACTGATGTAAGCATGCATCAGATTTTGTTTTACAGGAAGAAAAAATCATACAGTGTTTAATATATAAATACAATTAAATGCATTTTTGTCAAATGTTTTGCTATACATTGTTAAACATGAATGTAATAACTAGGAATGTAATCTAAAATGGTTAAAAGGGCATTTTTCATTGACCTGCTGTAGTTAGGTTAGGTTAGTACAGCGGTCTATAAAAGTAACATAAGTTATAGGTTTTGATGAGTTTTATTTTGTTTCTGTTTCCAGTTTAAAGTGTGTTTTTTTTATGAATATCTGCGAGGTAAACTTGAGTGTTATGTCAGTGGAGTGAGCTAGAAATGCTGGTGCTCTAGTGCGACATCTAGTGGCAAGTGAATTTCGTATGTGTAACCTTTAAGCCTACATTTTCTAACAGAACGCTGTGTGTTTACAAAAATATTTTATAAATATGAATATCAAAACTGTGGTGGGGAACGTGTCCTCTGCAGCTTGAATGAGTCATGTATGTGTAGCAATAAATAAAAGCTCTTGTTTATTATCCAGCAGTTTCATGTCAGTGCTCACATTACAGCACATCATCACTGCTGCATCCAGTCGTCTGTGACTAATACAGCACAGACTGGAGTCATGTGACCTCTGCAGCTTGATAGCGACTCACACAGCACCACATGCTGAGAGGACATGGTCAGAAAAGGCACCAGTCCGCTGGGAATAGTGGGGGGAATCTGTCTCACCACAATGTGAAGGAGTGTTAAACTGCAAATTGGTGTGACTGGGCTTCTTCACAATGCTCAAAGTCTATTCCCTTGAAGCTCCACCAATCAAAAATGTGCATGATATGTTTTGTTATACATATATATGAGGCAGGTATATATACATGTATACACACACACGCGCACGCGCACGCGCACACACACACACACACACTTAATTATAATACAGCCGCTATATGTAGCTTTCAGCATCTTTTTGCTCCAGAATCTGAAAGGTGTGAAAAGAAAGCAAAGTGGGACAATATCTGCAGTGAAAAACATGGAGATCTTCAGGAGGGAAGGAAAGAGGCTGTCGCTGCCTTATATCAAATATTACAAATATATATATATATATATATAAAACACATATTTGCAGAGAGACTGACACAACCTGGCTCAAAGCTGGGACAAAGAACCAAATAGGGTGGAAACCAGGCGACAAGAGACTGACTGATTGTCTCCAGCTTATATACACCAATCAGCCATAACATTACGACCATCTGTCATATCCAACAGACTGCTCTGCACTGTGTGTTCTGACAGCTTTCTATCATAACCAGCTTTTTCATCAGTTTGAGCTACAGTAGCTCGCCTGTTGGATCGGACCATACGGGCCAGCCTTCACCTTTCCCCACCTGCAATCCCAAATATCTGTGGCCCGCCATGACGGCGCTGTCTCTGGTTCTGTTTCCTTCCCTTGTGAACCACTTTAGTTGAAATAGGTTAATCTGAACCTTTGCCAGACCGGAAAATCCCCCCCAACAGAGATGGCAGGTTTGGAGATGTTCTGACCCAGTCGTCCATCACAATGTGGTTCTTGTCAAAGTCGCTCAAATCCTCACTCTGCCCATTTTTCCTGCTTCTAACACATCAACTTTGAGGATAATCAGTGTTATTCATTTCATCTGTCTGTGGTCACAATGTTATTGCTGATTGGTGCAGTCTTGCCACCAGACCAGCTGAGCTGAATCTCCCTGATTAACAAACTTTGCCCACCAAGCTTCAGGCCTGCTCAGAGGGTCTAATATTGGTTGATATTTGGTGGGATCAAACATCACCACGAGTTTCTGGTAATAACTCATTAACCATTAGAAAGAAATATTTGTTCAGTGCCTTCCTTGGATGATGCCAAATTTACTGTTTTTACCTCTATTTTAGACTCTTTGATAAAGACATTTTTTGCTTCTTTTAGCACCCAGTTCATCAAATTAAAATCGGTATGTAGTTGTTGTAAACCAAACAAGATTCATAGGTTCATGTTTTGGTATCACTTATCGTTAATGTGTAATTGGTTACCAAACTTTTGAAGGCGGGCCTGATGCACTTAACAAGCCATAACTAACAATTTCACTGACAATTCAAGGACAGACTGATACAGGACAGAGGTCAGTATTGTTTATTTGATTCAAATAATAGTAACAATACTGATATTATTGTTAGATAGGTGAATGCTGTGGATACAGGTCAGGGATTTGCACTGTCTAGTTGATTCATGTAATAGTAATTTATTAATATTTACTTAATTTCATGAGTTAAGGGGAAGTCCAATAATTTGACACTAATTGTCATTCAGACACAGTAAATAAAGGTTTTATTGAATTTATTTGACAATCATACTAAGTTGGACAGTGGACAGATACAGGGCAGCAGTCAGTGCTGTAGATACAAGGCAGCGGTCAGTGCTGTAGATACAGGGCATAGGTCTGTACTGTCTATTTGATTCATTTATTAGTAACAATAATAATCATTATTAATATTAATTTTATTTTCATAAGTTTTAGTCCATTAATTTGACACTAATTGCTGCACATTGTTATCTTCAATCTTTATGTAGCTCATTATTTCTCTTACATTTTCTTTGGTACCATTATCTCTTTTGGACCAACATCTTTTGAACACAGTATTCAATCACAACAGTTTTGGGAGGTATCTTCAGATGTGAATTATGAACACTTCATGTCGGGACTCTTTCAGAAGCTGTGCCTGCGAGCAGTGTAGCAGCTGCAGCAGCAAATGCAGCAATCACAAACATTTACTTCATATTCTAGTTTTATTCATCAGTAAATTCAACTTAAGTGCTAACATTTATATAATATATAAAGTTCAAGTCTTACTTTATTTGGATAAATTCTTTTAACACATTTTAAATAAGTTTGGAGACTGCAGTGTTATATGTACTTACTAGTTTGAAATTCAATTAACTGAATGAAATTGGTACAATTAGCTACATTTAACCAAATTACCTTAACAATAAATCTGTTTTGAACTTTATGTCTCTAAAGAAAAACAACTAAATGATTGGCTGATGTACATGTTAGTATCAGGCCACGCTGTCCATAGAACTGAAGAGGAACGAAGGTGATCAATAAACAGACAGACAGACACTGATTGCTTATCGTGGTTATAAACAGAACTTTTTTATAATTCTCTCTCTGCCGGTGATACATTCTCATGTGAGTGCTCTGATTATTCATGTATTATTTCACACAGTAAACTTATGTTATTTAGCCTTTCTGAAACCATTGTTAATTTTATGGAAAAAAAAATCAGTTCTGGCTTCATCCTGGCATCTGGCCCAGCGAGTAAGTATCTGCTACACATAGCGTACGTACTCTTAAATATGGCAACTTTTATCCAAAAACACTTGCTCTCTAAATACATTTGCATTGTAGATATTATTAATATCTGAATAAATTTGATACAAGGTGGGAGATGATTGAGCTACAGAAACGTTTTTAGTGAGATCTTTGAATATTTATGTCAAGTTGCAGAAAATTGCGTCATTATTTTCTTTTTTTTCTGGGGAAGGACCTCCATGTCCCCTCCAGGATTGGTTTCCCTGTCGCTATGTGTGTTAGCATACCTCCCTCAGTACATGCGTGTGTGTGTGTGTGTGTGTGTGTGTGTGTTGACCTGCATGTGAACTATATGCATTAGGAGCAGAGTTGAAGTCGACTGCGAGGCAGCGGAGAGTCGCGGGGAGCTCAGCACTGTCCTCCATCCATCGGCAATCCCCCTCCGGTTGTCTCTCTGTGAGCCTCGAGCAGAGAAGAATTGTTTGTTTTGACAGGCAGTGAAATCCATTTGCAGTATCTGTCACATGCTGCATGAATCCATCTGAAATCTCTATCTGCGGCCATTCTGCCTCCTGGATTTGTTCGAGTATTCGTATGTGACAGAAAGCCTGAACGCCACACGTGTACCAGACACACTCCCTGACAGAGTGGCTGCACCGGAGAGTAGAGGAGCATATACACACACACACACACTGACACACACGCTCTCACACACACAC